GTAAGTTAGTCTTTCGACAGGCCATCCGTCTTTGAGCGGAAAGCTAGTCGGTGCAGTTAGCCATCTTTGAGCGGCAAAACAGCATTTAGACGAAACTTATTTTCAAACTTTTCAATTTCGATTACAATAAATATATTTTAGGTATAGCAATATGTAAGTTAGTCTTTCGACAGGCCATCCGTCTTTGAGCGGAAAGCTAGTCGGTGCAGTTAGCCATCTTTGAGCGGCAAAACAGCATTTAGACGAAACTTATTTTCAAACTTTTCAATTTCGATTACAATAAATATATTTTAGGTATAGCAATATGTAAGTTAGTCTTTCGACAGGCCATCCGTCTTTGAGCGGAAAGCTAGTCGGTGCGGTTAGCTGTCTTTGTATTTCATTTCAAGGAACAGAAGATGTAGACGACAGTTTATACTATATGATTTGTCATTGTAATTAGCATAAATTAATATTGATTATGTAAATGTAAGCCTCGGCGGCACATTGTTTCTTATCGTAGAAGGTACACATGTATGGTAAGTGTTCGTAAATATTTAGGTATTTTTAATCGTTTTTCATAGCCTTTAAGTTTCTTTTGGTCTGTAGGAATATYCTTTGTAAGTTTATCTTTTGTTTTGTGATCTTTAGTGAACCGTTACTGACGTTACTGCTGGTTTAGAACAATAAAAGGAGATTGTTGTTTTTAGCGTGTCTCGCACGTGTTTATCTTTCGAAGAACAGTGTGTCCACGAAATGCATGAAATGTCCAATACATTGTGGTTCACATACATCTTTAGAGCTGATGGACATTAATTGAACTTGATTCTGCGATTATCTAGCGTTTATTCGATCTTCGAAGAGTGTTTGCAAGATTCGTACGGCTTGCAAATTCTTTCGACTTTCACAAGCAGCGATGGAAGGCACAGGGATCCCGACGGCAAGACAAAGGAAGCCCGCCGCTCATGAAAGTTATGACGGAGTGAGAATAGAGAGAGCGGAAGCTCTGAAACGCTCGAGAACGGGATAYATTGGCCAATTAACAAGAAATTATAAAGAAATAAGGAATATGATGAAATCAGAGAATTTCAATGACGTTGATACCGTTTTGAGGATAAAGCAGAAAATACTGAATTTATTTGATAACTTCGAAAGGTRMTGCAAGCAACACCTTGAGTGCTTGAAGGAACAGGAAGACATCGAAGAGGCTAATGTCATTTATGAAAGAGCCCTATTGTCAGTACCACCGGCACTTACTACTACGAGACAGCAAAACACCTTGCATCGTACCTAATGCCTCTCACAGATAACGAATACAACATCAAAACCACCACCGACTTC